AAAAAGCCACAAACCTTAGGTTTGCTCAGATCAGAGAGGAACCAGGTGTGACGGGCATCTGACTCATGCTCTGTGGCCTCCATCCAGTCTGTCCTCACAAAATGCACAGCAGGAAAGAAGGAATGTACTTAGTTTTCTTCTGGGGAGAAAAGGGGTTCAGTAGAAGTACTGAAAGGCTTGGAGGAAGGCTCAGTGTGCTGTGTCTGCTTCTGGGATGGTCCTGGATTTGGTGCATGAGGTGGGCTAGTGTGGTGGGCTAATGTGGTGGGTTAAGGTGGTAGGCTAGGGTGGTGGGCTGGTAAGAGCAGTGAAATGGTGTGTGGAAGGCCAAACCAATGGAGTGCAGTGGGCAGTGAGCCTGCTAACTGAAAGGACACCTGTGGTGTGAGCGCAGAAGGTGGGTGTTCTGAAGGCTTCTCTGCACCTCCACCTGGGGGTTCATGCTCAGGACCCTGAGGTCAAATTATGATGGTGCATTTAGAAGCTTCTAAGAGTCAAGTAAGGAGGGCAAAAGGTCATGGGCCACTTTCAATTTACGCTGACTCCTCTTCGCATGGATGCAAGTGACCCCATCTCACCTGCCCCAGACAAACACTACAGCAAGGCTGCACTGGCTGCAGGATGGAAATGCTGGGTGAGTTAAAGACATGAAGGAGAACACTGACCCCATGGGCATCAGCTCACTCCTGACGTCAACAGGAGACGGGTGAGCAGAGTGCCAACTCCCTTTTGTCATGAAGCTTAATGTTTTCCTTTTTTTTTTTTTTAATTCCTCATTCTAGACCTCGGCCTCTGACTTATTTTGCTTTATCTAATTCTTGTTTCAGCAGCTGCTTCTCAGAGTTCACACCCACCTTCTGCTGTGGCTCACTGCAGTATTCGAACAACTATGATATTCTCCCTCAAAGAACTCACTTTTCTATTAGAATGCAATCAGAAATTCCAGTTTTAGGCTGTTGGGCTTCCTTATTTTATTTTGTTAGTTTTTTGCATGCATTAGAAATTTAGTTTAGTCCTGAAGATGAAGATGAAGGTTACTGTCATTATTGCTTCTCAGAAATATGCTCTAAAGATAGTAATTTTTGAACGGAATGGCATCCTCGGTGGGCAACAGCCTGCTACATGAGTCTGTGTCTGTTTCTGAAATATATGTACTGACAGCCATTCTGTTCATTCTATCAAATTATCAACTTGTTAAATACCTTTTGTGATAATATATCATAATGGTGACAGGAGCAACAATTCAGTGAACTTTGACTGATAAATGGATGATAATCACAATGATCAAAGAAATCGTTTTCTCACCTACCAAATTACTGAAGAGGCTACCCAGTGAAAACAAGCAGAGTTCTGCTACTGACTGCAGCAAATGTGGTCTCGTTATGAAAGCCTCAAGAACCTTCTTTTCCAACCGTTGACATTTTAGTTTTGTTATAAGGACTTTGTTATATTAATAGCCGTTTTCAGAAGGAGAGAAACAATGTGTGAAGTAGATATAAACAATATGTAGATAAGCAGAAAGTAGCCCTCTGACAATGACATTCAGGCGTCCTTCTTTTGAGCTATCTCCATCCTAGAGTGAGTCAAACAGCCCAGCCAGTGTGACCTGAATCTTGATGGTTTTTTCTGCCCTTATATGGAATGTATCTTGAGGAAAAGCACAAAGAACCCACCAGCACAGATGATGTGCAAACTCTATAACTGGCTTAGAATTATGGGAACTTTAGGAACGTCTGTTTTCCCGTGCAAGTTGTCTAACTTGCAGAAACATTTGTAATTTGCCTACTGCCATATTAAAATCTAGATAAGGTCCCTCATTTACCAGAAGACTTCGTTGCTTTCTTATCTGCTTTTGAGACATCTTGTAATAAGAGTTGTGTGTGTGTGCGCTTTTTTTTTTTCCTTTTGGGTCTGTAGTGCTTTTTCAATCAATGTAGCTGACACCAGATAATTTCAGCACAAGGGATATATCATACTGGTCCTGTATGAACATTGACCTAATTTAGTTAATCTTAGATTATTTATCCAGAATATCTCGTCTGTGAATATTTGAAAGTATATAACCATTGTAGTCCTTAGGGGAAAGAAGAAAAACAGAAAGCAAATGAGAATCTCTCTGGCTTTATAAGGTGATGATGCAAATGAGGCTCTGTAATACATATACTAAACGAACAGACCATCCTACAAATCCAAAGTCAGAGTGCTGGAGCTTCCAATGGGATGCTGATGGCTCTTTAACAGGATACGTGCTACTTTTTTAGTTTCTTCTTTGGCATTGTTTTTTAAACATGTAGTTTGATTAAAGAATAAAGTATTTCTACTAGTTCCTTACTTAAATTTTAACAAGAGTGATATTCCCCAAAGAGTTAATACCAAAATCAACCATCTCAATTAGTTTACCCACAAAACTTGGCTCATCCTTGGTATTTCACATTTTCTTTTTCCTTTAGTTAAATTCAATTTAGCCAAAAATAGAACAATAAGTGGACAACATACTAATAATGAGCAACAGGACAGTTCCTTTTAGGATAAAAACAAAATTTTAATTGTATTCAAAATTATCTATGAGACACTTCCATTATTGGCAAAGTAGACTTAACCTCATATTTTTTGTTGCATTTTAAAAATTAATTATACAACTCTCAAGATAAATACATAAAATTATAATGTATGTATATGAAGCCTGTATGCAGAATTTTTGTGTTGCAGTTATACTGAATTTATTGAAAACAACATTCTTGGAGCGATCTCTTTTCACTTATCAAAAGGTAAAATATAACTTTTGATTTTTATAACTTCACTTCTAGAAATCATGGTTAATATGTAAAATAGTTTTAAAATACCTTCTTTAAAATAAAATGTTGGCAAATATGGTCTCCTGCAACTTCCATGACCAAAGTATGACTTCACAGCTTTTTGAAGCTGTGAATCAATTATAGGAGTAAAAAGGAATTCCACTCTTGATGAGTAGAAGCATTTTCCCAGATGTAAATTCTTGCTCAAACTTTCTGTTTGTTTGCTTTGTTTTGGTAGGTGGTGGCAGCGAGAGGTGTGTGTGGACAAATTAGAGCAGAAAAGTTCCAAAATGCTGACCTGAGATTGGAAAGTAACAGGAATGCGGGCTTTCGAACTGTGCAGACATCACACAGTCTCCTTGGTCATGCATATCTCGTCATTATCAAACACTTGGAGCCAGATTCTTCAGACATTACCGCAGAGTTCATGTAAGATTGCTGACTGAGATCACAATACGGTAATTAGATGGAATTAAAGTTAAAATGGAAAGAAAATGAATCGAGAAGTAAAATACAAGGTGTAATCCCCCCCCGCCCCATTGAAAGAAAAGGAGCTTTGAGAACAGATTGGGTTACAAAAACAACTTCAGAATGGCTCTGAGCAGGCCTCCCCCGTGGCCATGTGCTCAGCCTTCTCCACCATTTTTGCTTTTCCTTTGCCTTTTCTGAAGGATCTGTGAGAAGGTCTCACACTGCCCAGCAGGAAGATAATGCGCAAATAGCCATGTAGGTAATTGCAAAGTTCCTAAGAGCTACATTTTTAGAAAGCAAAAAGAAGGCGAAATTTCAATATATATTTTATTTAACCTAAGGTATCTAAAATATAATCATTTCAACCTGTGATCAGTATTTTAAGTGATTACTGAGGTGTTTCATATGCTTTTGAGTACTGCATCTGGAAAATCTCATGTGTGTTTTACACCGAGCAGCACACCTCACTGCAGACGGGCCCTGCTCTCCATGCTCAGTAGCCACTGGGGGCCAGTGGCCGCCATCCCAGACAACACAAGTCCAAGGGCAGCCGAGGAAAATGCACTGAGCAAAGCCTGAACCTGGAAGCACTGAAAACAGTGAGGACCCAGAGCACCTCAACAGCCTCAGGTAGGAGCCTACTCAGAAAACACAAGAGAAGAGGAACTGTTGAAATTGAGAAATAAAATGTCCTCATTCTCCATTTTCTGCTATAGTTGTTGAATTTCTATAAGGAAATTATAATCTATAAGGAAATTCTGTCCCTCTAGTAAACTTCCAGCTATGTGACTTTCCCTCCCATGAGAAGTCCTGCCCAGCCAGCAAGAGCCGCCTTGGTGTTCAGCCAGCCCTGGACACTGTGGAGACGCAAGGGGATTGCAGTGCGTGTGTGTGTGTGCGTACTGCTGCAAGTGTGCAACTGTGTCATGTGTAAGAGTACCTGTGAGTCTATCACATCTGTGAATCTGTGAATCGCGTGTAAGTATGTGTGATTTGCATGTGTGTGTGTGAGATTGATTCTGGGAATTTGTGTGAGTGTGTAGGAATGTGTGTGACACGTATGCAAGTGAATGCATGTGTGAGAAGGGGGAAAGGCCAGAGCAAGCCAAGGGTCACTGGCTCTGGCACTGGCCAGAACCACTGGGTAGCCTGGAGAGTTCTTTGTGCAGGGAAGAGAGGCCCAATCTGTGCTCAGAGCTTCCATGGATCATCAGCTCCGCCCCCCAATGATGCCCTCTACATCCCCTCAGCAGACAGATTTTGAACACCCACAATTAGCCAGGCACTGTCCCCCCGACCCTGGGGAGACATCAGTGACCTGGACTAGCCATCAGTGACCCAGGCTGGCAAAACCTCCCTCTCTATGCAACTTCCTGGGATTCCCCTCCCACAGCCACATCTCCAAAAAGCCGGCCTCTGACTTGGAGCCCTGTCCCTAGCCTTCCGCAGCCTTACCTGCACGTGGCGTGGCAGGAACTGGGGCCAGAGGATGGAGGCAAGGTTGCCCAGGCACACACGAGGAACCTTCTGCAGGGTCTGATCTGTGACTTTCCAGAGTCTTCAAGCCACATTGTACCATTCTCCAGGGAGAAAACAAAATGGTGTTCCAGTTCAAAGGTATCCACATACACATAGAACCCCCCACTTACCCTGCCCACCCGGTAGCTTTTTCCTGGGTCTAGATGAGTCCACTTTCAACCCCGGCCCCCAACCAAATATGACACACCCAATAGATAGATTTCCTCCATGTATTTCCCTGTTGTTGTGTTTACAAAAACATTATTGGTTGCACTATTCCTTCACATCCTACGCCCTCCTTTTGTTAGAAGGAGGGCAGGCACTTTGGGGGCCTGGGCGCTCAAGGAAGGCCTCGCGGGGGCAGGAGAGGCCTTAGGGTGTGCAGGGGAGAACCTGCCTCTCTGCCATCTTCCACCTTAAAGTTTAGTCCTCGGCTCTGACCTGGTGGCTTTCTCTTGCCTTCTTATAGGAAGTTTTTCCAGCCTCAGATGCGGCAGAGAGGGGAGGGCAGCCTGGAGTCCTGTGAGGAAGCAGAAAGACACATTAGTGGAGATCCTGGGGCCGAGAAGAACTAGCATTGCTCAGGGGAGGAAAACTGCCTCTGCCGGCGCCTGCGGTCTCCCACGAATCTGAGGGTCCCTCAGGCTCTAACGGTAGTTTGTGCTCCCGGGTTCTAGCGCCCTTGGGTCTCCTTCGCTGGTCCCCCGCCCTGCACCCACCCCGGGGCATCAGGAGCACGCTTCCCCACCGTCCAGGTTCTAGAGGAACGAGGCCATTTGGGCAGGTGCGGGCAGGGGACAGGGTGTGGAGAGCGGGAGTGCAAGCAGGTCCTTAAGTCACGCGCCTTGTCTCAGGGTGGGGACTGGAAGTTTATGAGCTGCTTGCAATCCTGCAGCTTGAAGATCTGGCCTGACGTTTTAACTGGTTTGCTTTAGGGCGCGCAGTCTCTCTGACCTGCATTGTTGTGAGTTCACCCTAAAGGATATGACTTCAGAAACGATTAAAACAGAAGATGATGCTGTGAAATCCACTCGACTTGATATCTGGGCCTCTTTTGGTGAATTTAAACTCACAACATTAAAGCTACACTTGAGAGAAAACGGGAAAATGTCCAAATCTCAGGTCATTCGAGTCAGACATCCTTGCTCAGAACCCCAAGGAAGGCTTTTAAAGTTGCAGAACGCAGCAGAAGGAGGAGAGCAGGGATCCCCCGAGGCCCCACTTGCGAAAGACCCCCCTCCCCGGGTCCCTCCTCCTCTTCCTACCCCTATCAACGTTGGAGGGGGTCTGGACTTTGAAACTTGTCACGGGGAAAAGAATCTTCGCCGGGAAGGCTGTTAATGAATTCAGACTGCATAGTTCTCAAAATCTGATGTTTTGCAATGATGACATTAGCGTGGCGGCCGAGGGTCCGAGCCCAGAAAGTCTGCGCAGCTGCTCGGCGCTTTGAGCGCCCGGGACAATGGGCGCAGTGTTCGGGCCTCGGCCTCTCCAGGCCATTTGCATACCCCGTTCTGCCTGAGTGACCAGCGGATCTGCGGCAGGGAGCAGCATTGTCCACGGATCACTTCAAGATGACCGAGGTGACAAGAGCCAGGTGAGCGATGGGGCGGGACCTTCCCCAGGTCACGAGAAGAAAACGTGGGGAGAGCCTTGGCTAGAGCCTGGTTTGTTGATTCTCGAGGTGGGATTTACTTATTTGCTCCTAAAACCCTCATCAGATGTTGTAGGGGAAATTCGAGATTTAAAGATTTTTAACAAGAATTTACAAAGCCTCATTTTGGGAGTAATTTGGGGTCGTCCTTTATCTGAAAAATCCAGTGATCTTACGGCATTTTATTTCATTGTATTCTTTCACTCTTCCAAGTTTAAGAGTTCCACTGCCAAAGGAAAGCAGTTTCATTCTCTATAGCCAAAAGCTGTCACCAGTTGAGTCTGAATTTGTTATTTTCCAGAAACACCATTTTGAAAAGTTGCCACTGAGGCCCCTTGGCCGGCAAATCCGAGCTGCAGAGCGCCTGAAGCCCGGACGTTAAACCTCCAATCACCAGCCAGGGCAGCTCCGGCTGGGACAGCGCGGGCGCGCCGGCCCCTCCACCGCCTCCAAACGGAGCGCGCTTGACGCCCCTGTTTTGACTTCAGCTCAGAAAGACAAGTCTTTGTAATGCAAGTTCCTCTTCCCTGGAGAGTTGACGCACCACCTGCCACCATCTCTACCCCTAGCCCTGGGGCAGCCTGCAGAACTGGGACTCTTCTCTTGCGAATTTCAATCTTGGGGCGTGTAACTGTTGCCAATAATTTTCAGAGACCTGGATCCTTAAGGAGGGAGTCCTGGGGGAGGGACCTGAGGTGGGAACGGGTGGGTGGGACAAAGGGCGAAGCCAGAAAAACCTAGACGACGGGAGGGAGGCGAGGGCCTGAGGGCAACGTTTCTCCCAAATGAAACACGCTGCGTTCTGGCACCGACGGCTCCTCCTGCGCCTGGACCCCCAGGCCCCGCCGCGATGCCCCCAGGGCCTCCCGAGGCCTCGCTCCACCCAGGCTGCGGACCCACAGGCCCTCCTCCCCTCACCCCTCCTCCTCCCTCCGCCTCCAGCATCCCCGCACCACCCACTCGAGCAAAAAGCAAGTCAAACAAGTCCTGGGGAAGGCGCCCTACAGCCCTCGCCCGCGGGCAGCAACAACTGGGCACACCGCGTCTCGGGCGGTAGCGGAGCTGGCCAGCACCGGCCCCGCCAGAGCCCGGGAGGCGTCTCCAGGTCCCCACCCGCGTTCGCTGCGGATTGCAGCGACGCTCATCTCGGGAATATAACGATTAATCCAACCGCAGGTTTCCAGATAAGTGATTGTGATGGAGACTGTTGGCGAGAAAATAGACAATTATCCGCTGTTAGCTTTACATAAAGATCGCATTAACTCAAATTAGTTATCAGACAAAAGAGCGTCGGCGCGCGCGCCCTGCCCGCCCGCGCCCTGCCCGCGGGGACCCCGGGCACAACCAGGCCCAGGGCACGGCAGGCAGGGCCGAGGCCTCGGCAGGGCGCGAAGAGAGGGGCATGCACGAGGGGGCTCCAAGCTCCGGCCCCGCGGGGACTGCGTGTTGCGCCCTCCTAGACGCAGCGCGGGGCTCCGGACCCGGACAGGGTGGCCTTCCCGGGCCCGGAGCTGCAGCTCCTGGTCGAGCCCTCCCCGCCCCCCAGCGCTCCCCTCTGCTGCGCTCGCGCTCCAGGCTGCGCCCCTCCCGCCCCCGCGTCCCGCTGCAGCAGTCACTCTTCCCCCGAGCGCTCGGCGAGGCGCTGCCCTTTTCTTTCTGGCGCCCGCAGCCGCAAGTTTCCGGTCCCTGAGCGCGAGGAGACGTAGTTAATGACTTGGGGAGGGAACTGCCCCTCTACCCCGCCGCGCAATCAAACTCGCAGCAAAAGCGTTCTCGGCCAAGCGAACGCTCTTAGACAACGGCCCCGTGCCCTGCCGTCCCCACTCCACGCGTGCGGTCACTGCCCCTCCCGGGGTCGCTCTCTGCGGGGCCGCGCTGCCACGCGGGCAGGGGAAGGGACCAATGGGAAAGGTGGGCTGGGGGGAAAGGGCGCAGAGCGACCCCGGAGCTGGGTGTTCGTGGCCTGGGGACACCGGCTGAGACTCGGCCGTGCGGCCTGGACGCCGAGCAGAAGTTTCGCACTGTCCACGCGCCGCGTGGCCTCCTGGCGTGCTCTTTCTCCCGTGTCCCCACTAGGGTTGCCACCGTCCCGCCGGAACACAGATTTGCGCAAACGCACAGCCCAGTGCCCTGAGCCCCGGCCTGGCCGCAGCGCCCAGCGGGGTTCCCCCCTGTCGCCCGCGCGCGCTGGCGGCGGTGCTCCCGCCCGGGCTAGCCTTGCTGGGCCCCCAGGGTCCCCGGGCCCCGCTGAATAGGGCGGATAATGACCCCCGGTTCCCAAGGCAGGCTTTCTGCTGCCTGGTGAGCCTTGGATTTGTGTGGTCCAAGCCTTTCCCAGCTTGTCCCATTCTGTCACCGGGATAAGGGGCTCCCTCGGCTCGTTTGCACCTGCGTCGCTTTTGGCTCCTTCAGGAATGCGCTGAAGCTTGTAATCAGCTTTGTGAAGCCATTGAGTGCACGGCTGAGTGAAACTTCCAAAGCTCGAGGAAAACGGGCCGGCTGAATGGGAGCCAGCATGGGGCTTCTCTCCAAGCCTCCGCGCTGCCAAATTCCAGCAGAGCCCCTCACAATCGCTCCGCGCGGGCTTGACTGCTTTCCCCACACTGAGAAAAGTAAGAAAAGAAAAGCAAAAATACCAGTCACCGAGGTTAGCCGCTTGTTCCCAGATTAATGGCAAACGGCCCC